TAGCTATTGTAAGATAGGAAAATAATATTTTATAAAACATTTGGTATAACAATTCTTATATTATGGTTTGAAGGAGGAAGTACTGGCCTAGCAGTTTTATATGAACACTTTAGAAATGATTTTTTTTTTTTAATTCTAAACCTAAGAGGACTTGAACAAAACTAGGTTTCTCTAACCAGAGAACAATACAGTATTTGAGATTAAAAACCAGTAAATCACATAGGAACTTAAACACTAATGATTAGGGACCATTCATGAGATATTAGGTACTACCATAGCACTAATGTCTTTAAGTGCTACATTACTCAGATCTAGGTGGTGGGCTTTTACTTTTCCTGGATGGATTTTAACTAAATAGACTTTAGACATTTGGATATAGATAAATGCCTAATTCAGTAATTAGTATTTTAAAACTGTGAAACCTTTTAAGTTAAGTGGTCTATTAATTAACTACCAATTATCTTGTCTGACTACCGTATCAATAGAAGTAAATTACCGACTAGCTATTTGACAGATTTAGCCCTTTACCATGCAAAATTTCTGCAGAACATAAAAGGCCTGGAGTTAAATGCTTTTGCTACCCCCTTTTGGTTAATCAGGGATCAATTTGCTGCTCACGTATAAAGGCCAAATGCAGCTCTCTGGTCAAAAAGGATCTACAGATAAACTATGTCTCGCAAAAACAGCAAGCTAAGATTGGACTCCTCTTAAAAAAATAGCAAGTGAAGCAACATTAACGTTTTGGGGGGAAACATGGGTTTGTAATTCCTGTATGGAGGCCAACCTGCCATATTTCAAAGGAGCCTAGAGAGGTATTTTCAAGTTTTTGTAGCACACAGAGATACAGAGGGAGCCTAAGTGAATGTTTTCTGTGATTATGCCCCAATTAATGTGCATCGTATTGCATACATTCTCCTTGGTCTCGTCCTAACCATGAATGTCGCACAACAGATTATACTGACTAGAATCCATCCCAAATCTATCACTTCTTAACTGGTGACCAAGAGAAGGTTCCTAGGAGAGCTGCTGGTGATGGAAGAATACTGGACGATGAAGGATCACAGGACACTGGAGGGCTGTGCAGAACAATGGCAAGTTCTGTGAAAACTTCCAATTGCTTAGAAGTACAGACTACGAGGTTAAGAATCAAGGAAGGAACACAGGAAAAATCCTCTCCTTGAGGCCCAGCCATTAGGAAATATGAATGGTTGCCATAAATTCAATTGGAGCTTGATTCAAATTGGTTTATAAACACCGGCCTTCTCACAGTCGCTAGCCTTGCACCAATGAGCAGAGTTAATATACTACAGTAAATACGAGCACACAGGCAAGGCCGGGAGAATGGAAAAGTTGTATAGGAAAAAAAAAAAGGAGATACAAACAATTATGAATGTGAGCCAGCCCCATTTTGAAATTTCCTCAATCTTATGCAGCTTGAATTAGTCCAACATAATGCCTATTACCTTTTGAAATTTCAGAAGACAGGTTCCTGTGAGTATCCTCTGAGTAGGCTATCTTCTAAATATTTAAGCAGAAGTCTAGCCTATGCTATCAAACATTTATTGAGTGTTTATTTAGTCTCAGGAGTAGAGTTCTATTGCAGGCAGGGGAAAACAAATAGAAGTATATAACAAACTGCCTTCAGAAAGCTTGCCATCTATTTCAGAATTTCAGGGCACAATGCGTAAAAAAATTACACAAAAGAGCATGTACTGTGCCACAAAGGAGGAGAATAAAGAGATGTTGCAAGAGATTAATAATGGCAAGAAGAGAGGGGCACCTGGGTGGCTCTGGTGTCTGACTTCGGCTCAGGTCGTGATCTCGCGGTTTGTGAGTTCGAGCCCCACATGGAGCTCTGTGCTGGCAGCTCAGAGCCTGGAGCCTGCTTCGGATTCTGTCTCTCCATCTCTCGGCCCCTCCCCTGCTCATGCTCTGTGTCTGTCTCTCAATAATAAATAAACGTGAACAAAAAAAAATTTTTTTAAATAATGGCAAGAAGAGAAAAAGCTTTACACAAGTCATTTAACTGCAGCTTCATCAGAAAATAAGGGATTAGAAAATAAGATGATCTCTAAGGATCCTTGCAGCTCTAATATGCAAAAATGCCAGAAAAGGGCTGGAGTGGGGAGGGAAGATTATAGTAAGAACTTGAGCTAGGCCTTAAAAGGTAGAAGAGTGGAGGAAGAGGGTCTCCAGGTAGGGCCAGTAGTAGAAGGGTTTGGAAGTAGGAGCACCCACAGCTTTTCAGTGGAAGTCCACACGGCTTTCCAATTCACTACATGGGACTTTAACTCTGGGTCACGATCAACATACCATTTAGTGTTTTATGAAAACAGACATCGACTGCTACTTAGAAGTCTGGCTCCAGACAATCTGTTCAAATGACTACACAACTGTTTGCTCAGCTGATCTACTTTTTAAAATGAACGGGGCAACTTCTTTCCCCCAGCCAAATATAGTAAAAAGACACACTGGTTATTTTCTCTGGAAGGAAAACAGCATAAACCAATACATCCTTAGACAGTTGTCACACACATTTTTGTTAAAGAGGACTACTGGAAAGGAAGCTGAATTCAGGTAGCTCTTACATCACAGCATATGTGCACCCACCCACCCCCACTGCCAGTCCCTGTAAAAATTATAGTAAGTCTTCCTTTAAATTTTAGTTGCTAGTTCTCAACTTCTTAAAAGGTTTGTAAGTCTCGGCAAGAAGTCAGAAATTCCAACTCTAAAATGAATTTTCTGACTCAATATTGAAAATAAATTCTTAAGTTTAGATGCTTAGGGGAAAAACAGCTGGAGAATTCAGGAGCCTCCCATATTTTAATATGAAGTGACGTCATTATGGTCAAGGCTTCCAAGAACTCCCTAAATTGTGTAGTTAAGCAACATCTCAAAGCAAAGTAAGGACTCTGGGAAGGTGGTATATTCCTCCTTAGTATACAGATTCAATTCCACAATAATTTTTCTGTCAGAGACCTGATTCAATTTTCTCCTTAGGTTAGAAAGTAGTCCAATATTAGAGTACAGTATATCAAATGATGTGCATTTTCAAAGCTAAAGCTATGGATTTTCTGTGCTTAACACACTCTAAATTAGCTCCCATTTTATAGGATGTCTAGCGAGAAAAGGCTGCTTTCCTCTTCAAAGTATTTAACTGCAGACTGTATGGGGTTTCTTTAAAAGTGTGGTTTCATTTGCAATTTTACAATTCAGGAAAGTAATCATACAGAGAAAGTAGGCAAGATTTTAGAGCACTGGGTAGGGCAAAGTTTATGGTTCAGAAACTGAGGATCATCTCAGTCAAAGGCTATGGAGAAAAAAAAAATACTGGTGTTGGTTCACAACTAGCCTACCAATGGCTATATATCTGTTTAAGGATGACAAGCTGACTAAAATCAACTGGAATTTCTAAGGTACTTCCATCCTTATCATTCAAATACAAAAACTACAAGGCCACCTGCAATTCACATGTGTTATTTCAAATGGTGGCTGCTTGTTTTACTCAGAATTGTCAATACATAGGATTCTTGATAAACTGTATTGCCAAGTTTATTCATCTGCAGTGCCCTTTACTCACCTGATGCAACCCTTGCCACTTGTTCTTGTGGACCCCATGGCAGCAGGGACTTTTATTCAGTTGCCCACCCCCACTGCACACCAGACACACAGACACACACACACACACACACACACACACACACACACACACACACACAACCTATGCACATGCGCCCCCCCCAAAACACACTTAAGTTCCCCCAAACTGTATTTGGTAATCTCCTTACTCATTTAAAAGATCAATATGAGTTAGTTAAGTCATTTATGTGTTCATTTCTTGAGGTTTGAAAATGGGTTAAATAGAGCTCATGTTTGAAAATATAACGTTAAAGGAAGCTTCTTTCAGGATCAGAGAAATGGTTTGATATTCAAGGAACAACATTTGAATAAGCACTTCTAAAGCCAGATTAAGTTTTTAAGCAGTTGCTAAAAAATTAATGAGGTTTAATGTGACCTATTTAAAAGAAACAGTTCTTTGTTGTGTTCCATTAGAAGGCTAATCCGCCTATGGAAAATACAAAAAAAAACAACAACAAAAAACAAAACAACAACTCAACATCCTACCTCCTTACCCTTTCCTTATTGGCTCTTGCCTATCTACGAAAATCAAGGGGAATTACTTCAGAGGAGGAAGAGAATAAAGTGGGTCAACAGTGTACAGTTATAGGGGAGAGCTTCACACCCAACATTACTGAAGTTTAGCTGGAAAATTGGGATTCATTTTGTCCCCAGAGCAACAGAAGGCCCTCCTTCCCTCTCATCCTTAGATGCTGTAGTTCTGACGGTTAGAAGCGGATATGGTTCAAGTCTCTCCTTCCTCAAGTCTCACTGTCCTCCTGCCCCTTATATAGCGACTCTGTGGTCCTATCAGGGTGACTTCAGTTCTCCTGAGAGAGGCATCTTGTAAGCTGAGACAGTTCTGAGACCTACTCCATCAGGACAATGCCACAGACCCTGTGGCTGGTCAATGGATGTTAAGTGACTGCCAGGGTGGCCTGACCACTCCCAATGGACCACAAATGCTGATCTCAGAATCTCTGGCACTTTCTAAAATGTGGCTGAGCAGTAATTTGGAAGCCTAAACTCTGACTTCAGGAATTCATAAGAACAACCAATGTTTTACAAACTCAACAGAAAGTAAAATAAACAAACCCAGGGTTTTATGCTCCCTCTAGTTATTTTTATGGCAATCTTTCAAACTAGTTCAAAATGTTCAGTCCTTTACTCTCTCAAGAAAGACTGCATGGGACGGGGGAGAAAATAATTATTTGATAGTAACTGGCATACAGTGTAATTCACCATGGGGAAATAGCAAATTGGAAGGAAGCTTTGTGGTGAAACAGTATAGGTGTCTTCCAGGATGGTATTGAAGTCTGGCTCCTTCCCAACCTTCTCATTGAGGAAGGCCTAGTAATAAAAACAAGGATGTTTATATTTACCCAGAAGTGTGCGTGGCAATTGACCATCATGGTTCTCTCAATGAGCTCATCAGGACATTCCAGAAGGTGATGCCCAGAGACCACGCCGGCATTATTGACCAGGACTGAGACCTCGCCAACCTCCTTGCGGACCCTTTCTGCAGTCAGGTAGACATTCTCCCTCTTTCCCACATCACAGGTGTAGGTAAAAACCTGCAAGTTACAGTGGGGCAGAATTTCTTCCTCACCATTTCCAGCTGTCCTCGGAAGTCCAGATGAAGGGGGAGAAAATGGAACAGAGAAAGGGTGGGGGGTGCAAAATGTGAGTCACGTGGCAATCAGTAGGACAAAGATCACACAAAACAAAAATACTACAGTGAGCTTCAGATTTCTAACACCATAAGGCTTGCCAATGACTGAACTTACAGCTGCCTTCCTCCCCCAAGAGTCTTTGGGAATTATAGCAATTTACTGGATAACTTTGCTTAGGGGAAAATCATGTAATTGTGACAAGCCCAATACAAGTCAGACCTCATGGGATCAGCTTCCTGGAGCTAAAGACACCTGGAAAGAACTGATCTCAGCCCAGAGAATAACACCCCCTCCTCCCAAACACAAATAATACACACTCCTCTTTTTTTGAGGACCAGGGGCCAGAATCGGCTCTTTTTCTTTTAGTAAGAGCACCTTCAAAATGGGAACCCTCCTTAAGGCTCACAAATCAAAACTGTAGCTAACAATCTGAAGTCATCCAAACCCAAGAAATGAACCTAAAGTTTCTCATGAAAGAATGGAGGTCACTGGTTTGTTTTAACTGGAATCTCCGAGTTCTCCTCAGAAGCACCTTGCATAAATCAAGTTTACAGGTAAATATGCAATTTTACCACAGAAGATCTCAATTTTGAAAGCCCAAATCTCTTTCCTGGTTTTTGAATACCTTTATCTTCTAGGTTTCAGCAGGGAACACAAAAATCTGTATTTGCTACCCTTCCGTACCACTTTTGAAAATGTAACAGTTTTGACCTTTGCTTTTCTGGCCTAAAAGGCAGGTGCCAATACTTATGGTGAAAATTGATCGATATGGGGGGAGGGGTGGGGTCCAAGTTAATCTCCTCCGTATAGTTCTATGTATTTTCCGAAAATGAAAAATTTTGTCAAAGAGCAAGAGCCATTATCAAATTTCCTGGACCAATATTTACGGTTGGTTATGGTCTCCGCATTGGCTTAAAAAACAAGAAATAAAAAACAAAACCCCTCAGGTTCAGGTTAGTTAATAAGTATACAGTGAGGCAGATTTCCTGAGGTTATCAAAAACACGGAATAAATTTACAATGAGGCTTAAATCCTCCAAGCGCTTTCCAAGAGGCAGCACACCTTTCAATCAGGCTGAGTATGTAACTAAAGCACTTACCTGTCTGTGGTGCAACAATGTAATTATTTTCTGGCGGCTAAAGTTATAGTGAAATCATCAATGCCGCCTTAGCCCCAGCGGTTCAGACCACAGTAACACACAGACATGCATCAGTCGAGTCTGAGAACAACTTCCCAGACTCCTTAGTCTCCCATCGCAAAAGCGAGTGAGCCATTTCTTAAGGATTCACACCTGTGCTAACAAGCTCTGCCTTCCCGATATCCCCAGAGGGTTTAGGAAACCCGACATTCGCCCCCAAAGAGGACCCCCGTAAAGACAAGGGTCGGCACACCTTCCCCCTTCTAGAACAGAGGTGACCGTGCTCCTTTCCCAGGGGGCCAACTCCACTCGCCGAAGACGAACCGGGCTGACCAGGGCAATGGGGTTTGGGGCCCTCCAGGGGAGGGCTCGGGGGTGGGGCGAGGCTTGATCCGGCGCAGGTCCGAGTTACCTTGCAGCGCCGCGGCGTCGGCCGCCTCCAGGTCTCGGTAGATGTGGCGCACCATGCCCGCCGTCTCCTCGTTGCTCTGAGTATTGATGTCCCAGAGCACCAGCAGCGCCCGGCGCCGGGCGAACTCGAGCGCGAAGAGGCGGCCCAGGCCGCTGCCGGCGCCCGTGATGAGGCACACCTGGCCGGCCACGCTCTTCTCCTTGGGCCGCACCAGCCAGCGCGCCGCGGCCAGCACGAACGCCCAGAGCACTTTGAAAGTGACCACGAAGAACTCCACCACGATGTTCATCGCGACGCCCGGAACCCCGCACGAGTCCAGCGTCCGCGTCCGCGCTCACCCCGCGCAGGGCAGCCCGGCTCCCGGCCCCCGGGCGTTTGTCAGAGCCGCCCAGACCAGAAGGCTGCGCCCCGCGCCCTCTCTCGAGGTGCCCTCCGGGCTGGAGTGCGCGGCGCCGCTCCCTGCTCGCGCGGGGCCACTCCCGCCCGGGCTCGGCGCGGTGGCCCCGGGGTTGTGCCCGCCGCGGCAGCCGCCCGGCTCGGCGCCTCCTGCCGGC